CCGATATGACCGCTATAATTGTGGACAATAGGATGCGACTTGGCAGGTGATTTGCAAGTCGCAGGGCATGCAAATCACATGCCAATTCACATCCAGTGTTACCGGGGACTAACACTAAAACGGCATAATTTAACTTTGTAAAGTATTTTGTATGCAGAAGTTCCTCTGTGTTTTTCCTGGATTTCGGGAAATAAGTTTAAATTTTAAAATATGGGTAGCACAGTGGCTAAATGGTTAGCACTTCTACCTGGGAGTACTAGGGTTGTTGGTTCGAATCCCAGCCAAAGCACCACCTGCCTGGAGTTTTCATGTTCTCCCTGTGCCTGTGTGGGTTTCCTCCCACACTCCAAAGACATGCTGGTAGGTAAATTGGATCCTGTCTAAATTTGCCCTAGTATGTGTGTATGAATGTGAGTTAGGGACCTTAGATTGTACAACCCTTGAGGGTTAGGGACTGATGTGAATGTACAATATATATATATATACAGTAAAGCACTGCGTAAATTATATATATATATATATATATATAGAGAGAGAGAAGGGATCTTTAAAGTCTTGTTTTTACAAGAGAACTTCACCTAAAATGTGAAGTTCCCTCATCCTTCCTCGTTATAGTGAATTTTTTTTTCTCAGGGATTGGATACCCATTTCTGACAGGTACTGCTTCTTCTGCCTGCAAGCTCCTGGGACACTTTCCATGTCCCAGGAGACTGCGGGAGCATTCTAAAATTTGGGAGCTGGCTGTGAAACATCAGGAAGTAACAGCCTGTTTCCCATATCCAAGATAGCAGCGCAAAGGGCACCTGAAGACCAGAGTAGATTCAGCCCAGGTGAGGACAGCATTGGACGCCTGGACTGGTAATTTGTAGTTATTCTCGCCTGAAAAGCAGTAAAAAAAAAAAAAAAAAAAAAAGATTGAAAGGAGAAAAGAGTTAAGTGAAAATGAGATGACAGGTGCATTAGTGCCCTGGGCTATACAGACTGAACAGGGAAAGTGAAGTGTCACAGGAGCTGTATTGTATATGAGCCAGATCATTGTTACATGCAGAACAGTTGAGTTCAATGTAAATGACCTCTTCTGACTGTGCTGTGTGTCAGAATACAGTAGCCAATGCTGCAGATTCGGCCTTCTTTATATCTGTGTGTATATAGTGTATGTAGGGTTGCCACCTCATCCCTTTAAAACTGAAAATATATTAATGACACAGGTTCTGTGGCTGAGTAAGGTGGTAATTAAACTCAGTGCCTCATCTGCATTAAATTAGCCCCAAAACCTGTGTAATTAATGTGTTTGGGTTTAAATGGATGAGATGGCAACTCTAAGGCTAGGCTCACACCTATGTGTGCGTTTAAGCCGTTTCTGCATTGCGTATTGAAACGCATTGTGTTTTTGCCACGATTTGCAATTTTCTTTTTCTTGTTGCTAGGCAAATTTAAAACACATCAAAAACACGGCAAAAAGTATCAAAACGCAGTACACACTTTTCTGCAGCATTTCCATTGAAGTCTATAGAACCAGAAACACAACTTTTTGCATTGACAAAAGTTCACACTACAAAAATGCACTCCGGATATGTTTTTGCTTACAGTTTACATAGTTTTGAGGCAGTTTGCTATGTTCCAATATGGTTCCAAGCAGAAAAAATGCAGCATGTCCAATTTTTTTTTCTGCCCCAGAAACCGACTGCACTACTGTGAACTAGGGCCATTGGAATAGATGGAAAACACTGTGCATACATTTTTTATGCAGAAAAAAAAAGCGCACTGAACTGCATCTGGTGTGAACTAGCCCTGACCCTTTCCAAAAAACACACTGGGTGAAAACGCACAGATGTGAACATGTCCCATAGGAAATCATGTTAAAAGGAACTGTACTGCGTTTCTGTAAAACTCTGCAGAAAACGCTTAGGTGTGAACCTAGAATACGTGTATGGCCAGCTTTGGTTTGTCTGAGAAGGACTCGCAGAGAGAAGACTTTTTTTGGAGTCAACTGTTCACACTTGTGCATTGTAGCAACATGAGGTACTACAAAGCACCGGCTTTAGATGTAGTGCCCTGCCATGATTTTGAATGGCACCAACACACTGTATAGTAGAGGGCAGCACCCCACAGTGCAATACAATGTACTTACCATGTGTTACTGAAAAAAAAGGGTCAAGTTTGTTTTTTGATCTATTGCAATGCATGCAAGCCGGGAAACTAGCATATGTATAAAGAGATGCCATGTTTCTTCCATTACATGACAGGTTTCGTGAAAGCTAAATAAGGGGCAGCATATACCTGTAAATCTTCTAAGTCTGCACAATCATAATAATCCAATGCTGGACATACTTCATTCATATTTCAGCCAGTCCTTGATGAACCATCTGACATTCACTTAGGCTAGGTTCACACCTATGCAGGTTGCTTTTGACCCGTTTCTGCATTGCGTTTTGCTTTTTTGCACGTGCATTTTTTATGCGTTTTTGCCACTTTTTTTAAATTTTTATTGTTAGGCAGATTTAAAACACAAGACACATCAAAAACACAGAAAAAACATACTACATGCTTTTCTGCAGTGTTTCATTTAAAGTCTATAGAACCAAAAAAATGCTACTTTTTGCATTCAAAAAAGTCCCTGACCCTTTCCAAAAAATGCACCAGGTGAAAACTTGGAGATGTGAACTTGTCCTATAGGAAATTATGTTAAATGGACTGCACTGCGTCTCTCCAAACCCTGCGGAAAACACTTTGTGAACCTGAGGTGTGAACCTAGGGTTAGTGGGCGACTGTCAGCCCATCCTGTCCAATATCCTTCAACTGAAAAAACCCAAGTAATTGGGTGGAAATGTAACAGTGGACGTATTCAATCGGATTCAGACGCTGTTTGAGCCTGGGTTCAAAGTGATGCGGTGCAGAATTCGCACTGGTTTCTGTGTTATTTCTGCACCGCATCATAATCACACCCCGTTCATCTGAACTGCTGTGGGTGTGTATGTTAAGTTAACGACACCCCGAAATTGGTTCACAAAGCACGGTGCAATGTGCAGAATCGGATTGCATGGGTGTGAATACCCATGTGATCTGATTCTGGTGCGGACAAAAAAAAAGTGTTCTGCACTATTTTGGTGTGGATGCTGTGCGATAAAAAATGTATGTCTTAAATTGCACCACACAAAAATTGCATGAATGAGGTGCGGTTCCTGTGCAAATCAAATGCGATATGCCGCACCGCATCAGTGTGAACCCAGGCTGACAGCTCTGCCAGCAGCGCCTATCAGAATCCAAAAGCCCAGCAGCAGAATTTGTCCATTTGCACTGTACAAGCTGAACAAAAGAAATAACACTAAGGGCCCATTCACACTAGGAACTGCATGTGAATCGCACAGAAATGCTGTGCAGCTTCTGTGTGATTTACATTCAATTTTGTGCAGTGCGATTTCAGCCCATCCATTTTGAATGTGCTGAAATGGCACTGAACCAAAAGTAGTGCATGCGCTACTTTTGGAAATGCACTGCAACTGGATCACATGGTACTTTTATACCATCCAGTCTGGTGCTGGTAAACACACTGCTTTGCTGCGTTAACTGCAGATCTCAAGGAGATTTGCATGCAGTGCAGGAAACCGACATGGAATGTGTGTTTCCTGCACCATGTTCTAGTGTGAACAGGCCCTAAGGCTAGGTTTACACATGTGCAGGTGCGGATCCACATGAAAATCCGTGCCACACGTGCAGAGACATGGGGACCTGTGGGCGGGTGCCATTAATTCTAATGGCACGCCGCCCGCACTGGAAAACACAACTGTACTGGGAACTGAAGTTCTTGTGCGGGCTGCGTTTTCAGAAAAAGTGCAGGGACTTCTTCCCTGCGTGGCACGGGAGTCCATTCAAATGAATGGGCTCTCATGCCCGTGCAAAGCACGGCCGCATATATATGAACCGGGGCTAATGGTATGATGGATCAAAATTCAGCCAGTTTAGCAGGGGAAAAAAACCCAATCATCTCTGTCCAGCTTTATAAATCTGAATGTTAGGATTAAAGGAAAGGCTAATTGATTGCACAGTTAAACATACCTGCAGAGATATAAGCGGTTGTGCCTGAGGCTAGCAGGCAGGTCTAACTGACCCCAAACAACACTGAAGGAAGACCATAATTACAGGGTGTGACCACAGCTTCTGGTTAGTGTCTGTCTGATACAAGTGTGCTTGGAATAAAGACCAAACATTTGTGTTTGCCTTACAATTGTAATATGTAAAACAGTACTGTGCTCATAATATATACTATATAAACGGTGCAACTCGAATAAGTGTGTGCCCCTTAAACGTATGATAAACAAAAAACATTCATGCACACCATCTAAAAAAAATAAGCACACCTCTATATTAAAACAAAAATATAATGCATTGAATTTAAAATGTATCTAAACACAATCTATCCAGAAACAAAAATGATACATTGTAAGAAATCGACTTAAAACAGTGCTTAGTGAAAAACTAGGAACAAGAAATTGCTTTCCAGTGCCGTTTACATCTCTTCATAAACCTAATTTAGTCTCACTTTCTGAATTACAGAATGATTTTATTATGGAAATTGGATTGCATTTGCCTTGCTTCAAGACCTGTACACACGAAAAGAAAATCTTATGCAAATTTCTGTATGAGGAACGATCGGTGGATTATCTGTTAGTATAGTGCTTTCAATAGCCGATTGTAATGCGTTTTAACCACTTCCGCACCGCCCTATAGCAGTAATACTACTACAGGGTGGCATGGGTGTACAAAACCACGCATATATACATTACTTTGCAGTTCTGGGTAGGGGGCGTGTGCGAGTGCCCTACTCGCGCCACCATTCGTGGCTTCGGCTGTCAATCACTAGGTCCCAGCTGGTGATTCCCCACTGGCACCTGGCGATCTCCAAGGATTTCCAACAGGGGAGAGACCTGTATGTAAACAATACAGATCTCTCCCCTGTCAGCTCCTGCACACTGCTTTGTATGGCTCTGCTATGTGCTTACAGTACAACAGCACACAGTTAACCCTTTGATCGCACCACATGTTAACCCCTTCCTGCCCAGTGCCATTAGTACAGTGTCAGAGCTTTTTGTTAGCACTGATCACTGTATTGGTGTCACTGGGGATGTCAGTGACACCAAGTCAGTTCCCTCCAGTGTCAGAATGCCTGCCACAGTCCCACTATAAAGGGCTTGTTCACACTTGGCTGTTTTACCAACGCTTGCCAAACGCCCCCTATAGCGTTTGGCAAGCGTTGGTCCGGTGTTTGCGGAGCGTTTTTTAACGCTCCGCAAACGCCGCATGCGCGGTTTAGCGGCGGTTGCTAGGTGTTTGCCGAGTGTTAATAACGCCCCACAAATGCCTATAATGCAGTTTGAGTGGCGTTACCGCTCCGCAAACGCCCCGCAACCGCACCGCAAACGCCCGCCGGGCGTTTGCGGAGCGGCACCATAGACGAGAATAGGAGGCTTCAACGCCTCCTGACTCAACCAGAGGCGTCCATTTTGCTGCGACGCGACACAAACGTTCTCGTTAGAACAGCACCATGTGCTGTAATGTGCAGAATTGGCAGAGACGTTTGGGAAGCGGTAAAAACGCTTCCCAAATGCCTCTCTGCCGCCTGCACACAACGCTAGTGTGAACGTAGCCTAAGTCGTTGATTACCACCATTACTAGTACAAAAAAAAAAATTCCAGTATATATACCACCATTTGTAAACACTATATCTTTCACGTAAACCAATTAATTTACACGTATTGGGATTTTTTTTTTAGCAAAGACATGTAGCAGAATACATTTTGGCCTAAATTTATGAAGAAATTTAATTTATTAAATTTTTTTTACTGGACATGTTTAATAGCAAAAAGTCAAAAATATAGGGTTTGTTTTCAAAATTGTCTTTTTTTGTTTATAGCACAAAAAAATAAAAAACACACAGATGATTAAATACCACCGAAAGAAAGCTCTATTTGTGGGAAAAAAAGGGCCGTAAATTTCATTTGGGTGCAGCATTGCATGACTGCGCAATTGTCAGTTAAAGTAACGCAGTGCCGTATCACAAAAAATGGCCTGGTCAGGAAGGGGGGTAAATCCTCTGGAGGTCAAGTGGGTAACCAGAGCACGATTGTGTTCATGCATTTTTTGCACTCGCCTATCCATTTCCTGGGAGCCTATAGCACAGGTCCATGCATCAAACACATGAGTCTTTTTTTCATATGCATTGTATGGTACTTGGATGCGCATTAGGAGCCCATTAGAAATATTGGTTGCATCCACAAAATGCATGTTCAACACATGTTTGTTGGTGCATGAACACATGCATATGTTCTCTTGCAAGAGATAATATGATCGCATAAATGTGAGTGTACACCCAGGGGCAGACTGACATCTCATGGGGCCCCCGGGCAGTAGGGGATCATGGGACCCCTGTGTCCTTGCCCAAACGCAAAAAAGGTACCAGGGGCATGTCATGGGGCCCCCTACTGACCGGGGACCCCTGTGTACACCTCAAATATCAAGGTTGCCATATCGAACCCAAAGTTCTAGTTAAATGGCTTCTATTATGACTTACCAGCTAGTGAAAAAAGTCAGTTCTTATCTTTTGCTATTTTCTGCATCAAGGTTTTAAGCAAGAGGGTCAACCAGGCAAGTAGCATTTTCAAAAGTCAGTAGTGGTGGTTACCATGTTTTTCACATGACAGGTTTACTGTAAGATCAGTGAAAGCCATGATCATTCATGATCGATATGTGCGCCATCATGAACAGTTCACAAAGCAGAGGAAGGTCAGCTCTTACGGCGTTGTTGCAGCCACACTTTCTTTTTCCTGATGTAGGGTTTGTTCACACTAGCGGTTGAGGGGCAGTACAGCTCCGTTCACACCTATGCAGTTTGCTTTTTGTCCATTTTGCAGTGCTTTTCACAGTTAGTTTTGACGTGTCTGATGCGTTTTTTACCGTGTTTTGTTCAGCTTTTTTTTTTAATTGGATTTTTTTTTTTTGTTGCTGGGCAGAAAAAAAATGCAAAATGTGGCAAACATGCACAACCATGCATTTCAGCAGATTCTAGATTGAAATCTATTGTAGCAAAAACACTGCTTTTTGCTTTTAAAAATGCATAGATGTGAATACGTTCCATAGGAAACCATGTCAAATGGACTGTGGTGCGTTTTTGCAAAAATAACTAAAAAACGCATTGGTGTGAACGGAGCCCTAAACCCTGCACTTGAGCCATGTTTTTACTGCTACCAACCGCTCTCTTTTTATCTGAAGAGACAGCGGCTGGGGGTGTACACATGCCATGGCTGCAATTCTTTGCTTCACAGTGGCAGCAGGAATTATACCCCCTGTTCAAATGAATGGTGCCTCTCTGCAAGCGTCCTGTAACTGTATGCTAGTGGGTGGTTCAAGGGCTTAAAGCAGGAGGTGAGAAGGCAATACAACACCTCTTCCGCATCTGTCAAATGCTCTCTAAAGAGCAATCCAAAAAGAAGATCACTCTTCAGAGACCAAAACAAGTGTGAATGAGCTGTTAGACATACTCAGCTATGTCCTGTATGCGACTGCCATGGGGACCCCATTAGCGGTAAGGGCATTTTTACATGAGTGTTTAGTATCAGCACTGTTTTCAGAGATTACTTAATGATCCATGTGCTTATCATACACTGCCATGTGTTCGTGAAGTGTTCTGCAAATGCTGCCCAGGCTTTTTTCCATGCCTGTCACCAGTTAGCTATATAAACCATTCACCTAAAAATTAGCCCTAGTTCACACTAGGGCGACTTTGAAAGTCATGCAACTTCCAGCGTGACTTTGCTATACAACTTTTCAGTGACTTGGTGCAACTTCAAGGTGATTGTAAAAGATTTCAAAGCAACAATAAGAAGCATTGCTATGCAACTTTTCCTCCCTGGTCATCCTTGTTGCCTAAAAAACCTCCTTCCAAGCACATTCTATTCACACCTAAGTATAGCAGAAACACGTGTTCCCGCTTGCATTTTTTTGCATGTTTTTCAAAGTATTTAAATGTACATTGCACATAGGACTGCCTATTCACTTAATGGGCTGCCCTACACACCACAAATGCCCTAATGAAGCTCTAGAATGTTTTCAGTTGAGGAGTGTCACCATTTCTCATTGTGTGTTTGTAGAGTGTTTTGTCGTGCAGCAAACATATACCATGGTTGGGGTGTCATTAGCAATTAGGCTGCATTTACAGTGCTTTGAAAAAGTATTCATACCCTTTGAAATTTTCCACATTTTGTGATTTTACAACCAAAAACATAAATGTATTTTATTGGGATTTTATGTGATAGGCCAACACAAAGTGGCACATAATTGTGAAGTGGAAGGAAAATGAAAAATAATTTTTACAAGTAAATACTGGAAAAGTGTGGTGTGCATTTGTATTCAGCCCCATTTACTCTGATACCCCTAACTAAAATCCAGTGGAACCAATTGCCTTCAATTAGTAAATAGAGTCCACCTTTGTGTAATTTAATCTCAGTGTAAATACAGCTGTTCTCTGAAGCCCTCAGAGGTTTGTTAGAGAACATAAATGAATAAACAGCATCATGAAGGCCAAGGAACACATCACACAGGTCAGGGATAAAGTTGTGGAGAAGTTTAAAGAAGAAAGATGTGGAAGAAGGTGCTCTTGTCAGATGAGACCAAAATTGAACTCTTTGGCCTTAAAGAAAAATGTTATGTGTGGCAGAAAACTAACACTGCACATCACCCTGGACACACCATACCCACTGTGAAACATGGTGGTAGCAGCATCATCATGTTGTGGGGATGCTTTTCTTCAGCAGGGACAGGGAATCTAGTGAGAGTTGATGGGAAGATGGATGAAGCCAAATACAGAGTAATCTTAGAAGAAAACCTGTTAGAGTCTGTAAAAGACTTGAGACTGGGACAGAGGTTCACCTTCCAGCAGGACAATGACCCTAAATATACAGCCAGAGCTACAATGGAATGGTTTAGATCAAAGCATATTCATGTGTTAGAATGTCCCAATCAAAGTCCAGACCTAAATCCAACTGAGAATCTGTGGCAAGACTTGAAAATTGCTGTTCACAGACACTCTCCATCCAATCTGACAAAGCTTGAGCTATTTTGCAAAGAAGAATGGGCAAAAATGTAACTCTCTAGATGTGCAAAGCTGGTAGAGACATCCCCAAAAAGACTTGCAGCTGTAATTGCAGAGAAAGGTGGTTCTACAAAGTATTGACTCGGGGGACGAATACAAATGCATGGCACACTTTTCAAACATTTATTTGTAAAAAATGTAAAAACCATTTATCATTTTCCTTCCACTTCACAATTATGCACCACTTTGTGCGCATCACGCTTGTGTCACCATAATGGCAAGGCAAGCAAGATTCGCATTTCTGGAATGTGCTGTAAAGAATGTGGTTTGTGTGCGGGTCGCCATGCATTCAGAAAGGCGCAGATGCAAACACAACCTAAATGGTGACTCAAGAGTGATGCACATTGCCACACATTTTTCAAAACGCATGGCAAAGCGTGTGTTTTTTTTCTTGCCGGTTGCCATGCATTCAGAAATGCATAGATGTGAATGAATGGTAATGCGAGTGTGACACGTGTTTTCGAAACTTGTGGCAAAGTGTGAATTTTCTTGTGATTTGTTGTGCTTTCAGAAATGCACAGATGCAAGCGGATGGTAAGGCAAGTGTGACGCGTTTTGGCGTGTTTTTGAAACATGTGACAAAGCATCCATTTTCTTGTGTGTCTCTATGCAGTTGAAAACATGCCGATGCATTTGAATGGTAATGCGACACGTTGGCATGAGCTTTTGAAACGCAGGGTAAAGATTGTGTGTTTTTGCAGGTTGCCATGCATTTGGAAGCACGCAGATGCAAATGAATGGTAATGCAAGTGTAACGGCTGCCTCAGGCTCTCAGCGAATCACTGAGGTGAGCCAGGTGCACCAGTCTCTGGAGTGGATCCCAACTTTAAAGTCAGGATCTTTCCCCGGCCTGGACCAGCTGAGTGACATCACTTGATAGCAGACTTCAGCCTGTCAGCTGAAAACGGGTCACAGGAATACAGAACAAACTGCACTCCTGTGATCCACAGAAGTACAGCCAAAAGAGCTTTGGCTGTACTTCTCCTTTAAGCATGTGTGAACACCACCCAGTAGTGGTTAGTGTTCCGGGTAAAACCCTGTATGCCTGGTGTAATTCTTGCTATCTGTTCTCATTCTGTATGTATGGACTCTGCACAGTCCCACTTCTCCTGTCCCGTATGCCGGGTGTAATTCTTGTTATCTGTTCTCATTCTGTATGTATGGACTCTGCACAGTCCCACTTCTCCTGTCCTGTATGCCTGGTGTAATTCTTGTTATCTGTTCTCATTCTGTATGTATGGACTCTGCACAGTCCCACTTCTCCTGTCCCGTATGCCGGGTGTAATTCTTGTTATCTGTTCTCATTCTGTATGTATGGACTCTGCACAGTCCCACTTCTCCTGTCCCGTATGCCGGGTGTAATTCTCGTTATCTGTTCTCTCTCTGTAAGTATGGACTCTGCACAGTCCCACTTCTCCTGTCCCGTATGCCGGGTGTAATTCTTGTTATCTGTTCTCATTCTGTATGTATGGACTCTGCACAGTCCCACTTCTCCTGTCCCATATGCCGGTGGAATTATCGGTATCTGTTCTTATTTTGTATCTATGGACTCTGCACAGTCCCACTTCTCCTGTCCTGTATGTCCTCGGTATCTCCTCTTATTCTGGGTGTAATCCCACTTCTCCTTTCCTGCATGCCGGGTGGAATTCTCGGTATTTGTTCTTATTCTGTATTAATGGACTCTGCATAGTCCCACTTCTCCTGTCCTGTATGCTCCATGTAATTCTTGGTATCTGTTCTTATTCTGTATCTATGGCCTCTGCACAGTCCTCTTTTCCTGTCCCATATGCCGGGTGGAATTCTCGTTATCTGTTCTCATTCTGTATGTATGGACTCTGCACAGTCCCACTTCTCCTGTCCTGTATGCCGGGTGTAATTCTCGGTATCTGTTTTATTCTGTTGTATGGACTCTGCACAGTCCCGTTTCCCCTGTCTGTATGCCGGGTTAACAAAAAATCAGTGAGTGTGCTGCCTTCAACAAGATGGCGCCCTTTGCCCATTATGGTTGGTTATTGCAGTGCACCATCTTGTGGTAGGCAGTGTCTTTAAAGCTGTAAAGGTAAAAAAAAAAAAAAAAGTCAGTGAGTGCGTTGCATGACGCAAAATGGTGCACTTTGCGCTGCAATAGCCAGCCTTATGCAGGCCATAGATGGGTCGAAAATCGGCCGATTTTTTCTTTTAAAAAAAACGAACAATCGGTCGTTCAAGTGGCCGACATTACCACCAATGGTAAAAAAAATCGGCCGATTTTCATCCCGTCTACAGCCGGCAAAAAGTGTCCCTGCAGAGAGATCTGCTATTTCTGACAGTTCTCTGACAGTTCCTTGACATTTACAGCGGGTTGCAACATTGTATCTATTTGTTTCCATTTAGGATACAGATGTTTTTTTATTCGGAAACAAATAGATACAATGTTGAAACTGCTGTAAATGTCAAGGAACTGTCAGAGAACTGTCAAAGAAATAGCGGAGCTCTCTGCAGAGACACTTTTTGCTGGACTGGAATTCCTCTTATTTTCATCCTACTTCTTCTTCTTCTTCTTTTTCATCCTCATCCTCTTCTTCTTCTTCTTCATCCTCATCCTCTTCTTCTTCATCATCCTCATCCTCTTCTTCATCCTCATCCTCTTCTTCATCCTCATCCTCTTCTTCTTCATCATCCTCATCTTCTTATTATTCATCCTCATCCTCCTCTTCTTCTTCGTCCTCATCCTCTTCTTCATCCTCATCCTCTTCCTTCTTCTTCTTCCTCATCCTCTTCTTCTTCATCCTCATCCTCTTCTTCTTCTTCATCCTCTTCTTCTTCATCATCATCATCATCCTCATCCTCTTCTTCTTCATCCTCATCCTCTTCTTCTTCATCATCCTCATCCTCCCTCTTCTTCTTCTTCATCCTCATCCTCTTCTTCTTCTCATCCTCTTCTTCTTCTTCCTCATCCTCATCCTCTTCTTCCTCATCCTCATCTTCTTCATCATCCTCATCCTCATCTTCATCCTCATCCTCATCTTCTTCTTCTTCCTCATCCTCTTCTTCTTCTTCTTCTTCATCCTCTTCTTCTTCCTCTTCATCCTCTTCCTCTTCTTCTTTTTCTTCTTTTTGTCTTCCTCTTGCAGGTCACTGCTCATGCGCAGATTTTTTATCGGTAAAAAATCGGCCGATTAGCCCATTAATGCCGCGAAAATCGGCGGATCGGCCGATTTTTTTCCAACTTTACCAAAAAAAAAAAAACGGCCAAAATCCCAAAAAACGGCCGAACAAATAGCCCACTAACGATCCGAAAATCGGCCGATTTTTATTTTCGCCGAAAAATCGCATTTTCGACCCATATGGCCTGCATTACTGAGTGGATGCAAAGGGCACCATCTTGTGGCAGGTAGGCAGCACACTCACTTTGAATCTGTTGAGTTTGCACACTATAACTGAGCAGGTGCTAAGGGCAGCATCTTATTGCAGGCAGTGCACTTTTTTTAACCTGTAATCTGTGTCCTAAGAAGGTTTATGAAATGTTTTTAATAGATAAAAATGACTCCATTGTGGTAGGCAATGGGCTCACAGTTTTTTCCTCTTAAAAACATTTCATAAAATTATGACACACACATTCAGTATCCATACAGCTAGTATTATCTTTCATTTGGGGACATTGGGGAGAATTTATCAAAATGGGAACAGACAGAATCTGGAGCAGTTGTGCATGGAGAACAGTCAGCTGCTGAAACCCCCCAGAACTAAAAATTATCTATGGCCCTGAAAGTGCAGATGAACCAGAATGGTCTAAGCAGTATCCACGGGGTTCTATGTTTGTCTGAGTATCACATCCTCCTGTGTCAATTTGTGAAAATAATCACTGGAATACCCTCCATCTCAATCCTGTGGAGCAGACAAGAGATAATTTGGAGGGGCAAAAAGGCATAGATCAGGTTTAACTGATTCCATGGCGTCATCAGTGCATTCTCTGTGAAGGTCCAGTTTGTTTATGAATCTGGACACCAGCAGATCCCCGTCTGGTATCCCACACCTGTGACACAGAGTTTAAAACACCTGCAGATGAAGAGCCCATTCCCTTGAATCCAGATGCTAATGACTGATAAAGTCCACCTGTCAATTTTCCATGCCTTGGAGGTGGACAGGGCCAGAAACATGAAGTTCTGGCCAAGAAAGGATTACGTCAATATCCTTCTGAGCGGTGACTTCTGGTGCTGATGTAGGTCACTGCCATGCAATTGTCCAACTTGTTTCTTATTGGGTGTCCTCAGAGTAGAGGAGTTCCCTGCAATGAAAAGGCATCCAGAACTGCTTCCTAGCCTGACAGGTATCTGTAATGAATATCGTCCACATATGTGGGGGAAAGGGCTTTCCTGACTCAAGCATTGGGTTGGAAATCCACCACACAAGGATAAGTCTAGCCTGGGGGGGGGTGGGGGACTATTTTGCGCCCTGGGCAAGACTTGCACCCCCCCCCCAAAAAAAAAACCGTACAAAATTTTTCTAGAAGCCTATTAAAAAGCGGCAACATCAGTGACAGCCATCATCAGAATATACCAGCTCTGTAAGTGGAAGACAAGAAAAAGACATGGGGAGGTGCCACTAAGTGCAGTATTAAAAGACCAGTTTAATAATTTAATAATAGTCACCGTCAGTCCTTCCCATCCTGGAGCTGTGGATGGACAGATGCTAGGAAGCCGCCAGACAACTGGAAGTGTCTGGTTACACGAGGCGGACGTGATGTCACCGAAGGGAAGGTCCGGTGTCTTGGAGGACAGGCTATGCGCTTGGAGACCTAGAAGCACACTGCTATATCCCACTACTTATGGGCACAGCAGCAGCTAGGCAGACTACAAATACCAGCATGACATTTTTTGCAACAATTCAATTAAAGTAGAAAAAGCAAAGTGATCATAAAACCAGAGGTAAAAAACACGCAATGTGATACAATTCTCAGCAAGCAGGAGAGTAATGAAATCAGCGGCCGTGGCTGCGCCATAGGCAGCAGTGCATCCTAGACAGCTGCCGAGTTTGCCTAGTGGAAGCACCGGCCCTGCTTGGAGGCAGACACATTGGCCAGGCCAAGGACTAAGTCTAAATGAAATTGGGTGTTAGGCACAGCCTTGCAGGAGGCAAGCATTAGTCCCAACAACTTCATGAAGTAAGAAATGAGGGCTTCCTCTTGACCTAGGCACGTGAGTGGACAGAATGTTGTCAACAGGCAAAACGAGGCAACCTTGTAAGTGTTCTATAGGTACAATAATAATGACCCCTTGAGTCAAGAGTTGCTGGACAGCAGCAAGTATATCCACCCACTATGATGGGGAAGGGGATATGTTTGAAAGCATGAAGCAGGAAGGAGGCAGAGTGCAAAAGTCCAGTTTGTAACCCCCAGATTTCTTATTCTGCGGAAGGATACTTTTACTTCTGTGATCATCTTGATGTACTTATCCAAGGAGGGACAAAACAGACATTCACCTTCAAACTAGTAACTGTCCAAGGTGTTTCTTGTGAGCTCAGCATTTAAGCCAAAGGATCCTACTTATGGAGATGGAAAAAAGACTCATCCTGATTTGATGAAGTGTATCCGCCAAGCCATTCATGTAATAGCGTAAAGCCATAGGTAAAAGGTCTGTGGACAGAGGCACCCGTTAAGATGGAACTATGATTCTGGGCCATATGCTTAGTTAAGACAGCAATTGTTTGGGGCTGTGAGGGTCTTGGTAAACCAAGAAATGGCGAGATCTACCACTGGATTGGACCACTTCCGCAGCAAACTTTCCTCAATAGGATATTGTTGAGTGAAGAGTTTTGAAGGATTAAACACAAGACAGGCAGCAAGTAAACCAGAAAATCATCTGGCCTATGTAATTTAAAGTGGAACTACACTGTATCTGAGCACCACAAACTAAAAGCACTATTTAATACATTTTTAAATACTCAAAGCAAACTCACCCATCCATCAATATCTCTGCTCCACAAGGTTGACGTGGCGGCCTGGTGACCATATTACTTTCTGGACGGTTAGTCCATGCACTTGTTATACCTGATGTCACATCTTTTACCACTCAAATTTTAACTTGGAATTTTCAAATTCTTTTATACATTAATAAATCGGTTGTCATTTACCCTACTACACTCTGGGCATCTTTTATAGTCTCCTGCGTGGAGCTATTTACTTCTAGAGCCCATCTTGATCCAGCCATCCATCAGCATCCAGAGAGGGGAGTTCCTTAAAGCTGACACCCACACCCGTCAATCCCTTAAAGGGATCTCTGGGCAGCTGGATCCTGTATTTTCCTGTGTATCCTTGACAGCACCACCATACCTAGAGTAGGATCTTATCCAATACCTTAAGGAGACCTCTACATATTTATACAATGCATATTTACGTTACGAATCTGGTGAGTGCGTAATTCTACCACACTTTTTGGAGCACCATTATTTGGATTCTACTGTCACCTTTACCTAGATCTGCATAGACTGACACCTTACATTTTGGCACATTAATTTATTTTTATGGACATTAATAACTTTATATATGTTTTTTAGCGCTGCACCTTTTTATTTGTTATGCTATTCTGAAGGTTTTTATTGGTTATCTTTGGTGCTACAGCTGCTGATTTTAAGAACACTCACTTTCCTTTTAGACTTATACCTCCAAATGCATCTTCAGAGACTGGGCTCTGCCACAGATTGCACCACAGGCCTACGGGAGTGCCCATAGCAAGACCAAGTGTATTGAGGCAACGTTACAGGCCAGCACTGCATCTTCAATCTGGTGGGATCTGGGCATGGCCCCCCAAGCCTCTTTTGAAGAGTCAGCCTATCCAGAAGCTGAATTAGGAACCACAGTGGCTATGGTGCAGCAGGAATTGTGATCG